CCCCCCACACGACGTATATATTTGACACGTTATCATGATTGCTATTAATTTTAATTATAATTTCTCTGAGGATAGATAGAGATATATATACCTTTAATAAACGTGGTAATTTTAGGCTTAGAAGAACAATATACCTAGTGGATAGAGATTGAAGTATACATACATAAAAGTGAAGTATATATATATATAAATATATATATATATATATATATATATATATAGATAAAATAATTATTGAGGTCGCAAATTTATAGAAGTTGGGGTCGAGCGCATACAATGTCGTTAAGAACGACAACCGGTATATTTACCGTTTAAGAATTATTAAGGCTCGGGTATAGACGGCGAAATATACACACGACATACACATATAGGCAGCCCCGGTTGGCTGTGAACGCCAGCCCCGGGGGCTGCGCCCTTCGCGGAGAATATTCATTGATTGAACAAAAGATGAAGATCAGTAAATGTAAATGTTTGTAAACAAATTATGAAATTATTTGTTCAGTGCCTACATATTTACACAGTAATAATAAAGATGAAGATTAGTGAAAAATCACCTGATTTCTTTTCTCAATCTCGGATCACCCGTCCCCGACTTTCCACATGACTTACTTGTAACAAACAAATAAAAAAAAGAAATATCGCATTAGCAACATTAAAAAAAATTCTTACATAATACGTTTCGAAATATTTATAAATACCATTGTGCACGTAATAAATTTAAAGTTTTTTGTATACGACATTCGCGACGCGATGAAAATACTATAGGCACTATAGCCAATATTATTTCCTTTTATTATACATATGTATTATTTCTAAAAAATCAGTTATTCACATCGTTTTCGCAATACTCAATCGTTAACTTTTTCTTTCTTATGAATATCTAATGTTTTAAATTTAAATAATATATTAGATAATATCAGTTTAGATAACTCCTGAAGGTAAAATCGACGCTTAGCAAGTAACAAATAAGCAAGTACAGCAGATTTAATAGACACAAAACTCCTTAAATTTATAGATTAAAGAGAGATTTTCTATGTGTGATAAATGAAACTTATATATAGAAATATTGTATTAGAAATTTTAAATATATTTTGAATTGTAGATCGGTGGGATAAATTAATGTCCACACGCGTGTTTTCGCGTAAATATGACTTTATTATAATTAAATCTTGAATATAATAATCGAATATAATAATAACTGTATCACGACAGCGTTTAGGGGCAGACGAACTGCCCTCAGTCGTAGTTTGGACAATGCCTGGGGGCGAACGCAAAGAACGCCCTGAGTCCTCGTGTCGATTCGAGATTCGCGTCAAAGATGCTTTCGTACGTTTACTGCGAGATGTTCTCGTTAGCTCGACTACGTCCTACGACACGAATGTGCGAGTTCATCGCTTGCCCAGCGACAGCGACCCTCCACGTAATCGTCAAAATCACCCTTTCCTAAATTTTATTGGTTTACGTGACCGACACGTAAGATCGGCCACGTAGCGACAACGAGGCATGGAAGAGTACACGAATAAATAAGATGACGTGGTAGACAAATTCCGTGGACAAAGGGTCTCTTTTGTATGTGTGCATGTAGAAACATCTCCGACGTTTCTCTCGAATCTTCGCTCTCGGAATCGTGTATGAGTGACGTATTTATAATTTTATGGCGCTTACGACGCACCATATTTTGTATTTACAAGAAAAAAAATTGAGAGAATATGATTATATGAATTAAAGTTTTTCGATAAAGATAAGAACGACATAGACTATAGAGGATACTAATAACGATATTGTTTGATATAAAATACGATCGTGTGAAAGTATTGAAAGACACCAAAATAATCTACGCATGTCTAGACCGACATTGAAAAACTCGGTCAACCCCGCCTAGGGCTGCCATCCGTCCGGATTTCCCCGGATTTGTCCTAGTTTTGAAGACGTCCGGGGGCGTCCGGGCGGGTTTTTGAAGCGGTCCGGGTTTTTTTATTACTCGTATTATTAAATAATAGCTGCGCAAACGTCGTTGTAAATGACGTAATTGAACTCCTACCTCCCGGCTTTTCCATAAGAGCAAAAAAATGATTGGCTATTACACCATGCCATGCGTAACACTAAACGCACTGATGCGTCCTGTCACCTGTGTCTGTGAACAGTGTGAACCAGTGTGAACAAGCCATAGTCTGATATGATGTATTA